ATATATATATATGCAGGGAACTGATGGTGAATAGCTTCAGTGTCTTTGGTTTTGGTTGTGTTGAATGTCTCTCATCCACCATCAGTTCCCTGCAACTTTAGCGTGTGCATAAAACCTGACATTATCAAGTCTGCGATCTGCACACCCCGAGGTAAAAGGACCCAGATCTAGCAGTTTTATATCTTAAAAAGTGTGAGTCTGAGAGCTCTTGTCACGAGGAAATAAAAAAAAAAGACAAAGTGTCTGTCGAGGCTGTGAGAACACTTAAACATCCTCTCCTGTCGCTGCGGTTCCAGTGAGCATATCAGAGGATTGTTTTCATGTGAGGCGCAGATGTAGCGTCTGTACGCGAGGCTCCGGAGATTTTAAGATAAACTCTGCAAACAATTATGAAGTGGTAGGACTTCTCCTGTGGCTGCCTCTAATTAACACTGCTACAAGGCCTTAATTGGGGAAGGGAATTTTATTTTTTCTTTCCTGCTGCCTTTCAGCCGCTTCTGAGCTGCACGGCGTAGATTAACAACTCTGGTGTCAGCTGCCTCGCATCCATTTGGACGTTTATACTAAATAAAATCAAGCGAAATGGCTGTTTTTCTCCTTCTCGTACGCGGGAGAGTCGAGTAGAAAGCCGTCCGATTCAAATCGCCTTGGCAACAAATGGTTTCTTCATTAAGGACAGCCAAGTGCACTCACCTCACCACAAAGACCAAAAGTACCTCCTGGCAGTAAAGCACTAATATGTTTGCTTTCTTATTGTATTGCCATGTTCCAGTAAAGCCGTCAGTCACATGGAGCCTCTGAGCTCGTTTTCTCACAAAGACGGCGAAGAGTTTCACTTGATAATGAATGTCTGTGGTGAGAATCCCATTATGGCGCTGCTCTATCAAGCCTACAGAAAACACTGAGGCGGGAGAGGCAGAGGCCTTTATGGGCCATATCAGTCAGCTAGACGAGGGCTACTGTGCAAAACCAGATCCTCTTTTCTTATTGTTGAGCAGATGCATGAGTGTGTGTGAACAGATGAATGAACGTATTCTCACACTACACCGAGGTTGAAAATGTGGTACTTTTTTTTTGGTCAACTTGTTTCGCAAAGTTGCAAAATGCTGAACAGAAGATGTGATTGGTGCTCACCTCTTAGTAGACTGCTGCTGTAGTTGAAGGAGTCAAAGATGCTGTTGGATGCCATGACAGGGAATACAGGATGGCGTGGAGCCCTCGCTGCAGTCAGTCTACAGGAGGAGGAGGAGGAGGAGGGGTACATTTATATATATATAAATAAAAAAACAAGATTCAAACACAATCAATGAAAGAGGCAAGAAGAGAAAGAAGGCGAGCCTGAGAGGGTAAAAACTCCTGGAGCTCTGAGACTGTTTGCAACCAAGAATCTTGGGTTTGAGACTACCACAGGAATCCCAAGCCACAGGCTTGCAGAGAGAGCAGCTGCATGTGTGAGCAGCAACACCAGAAGACGTGGAGAGGAGAGGAGAGAAGAAGCAGCTTGATCGGATGCAACAGCAAGGACCCGTGTCTCCAGGTGCGGAGGTGGACTCACCAGGGCCGGAGATGAAGGTGGGGTGGGGCGGGGGGGKGGGGAGGGCCCACCTAATGGAGCCCGGGGTGATGGAAGCTGGCTGACTTGGAGGTTTGTGGTGGTCTCGTCCACGCGGCAGGTTGACAGTCCGAGGTTAACCCGCCGGCCTGACGGCGTGGTCTGACACTTTTCTCTCTCTTCCTCGGTGGCCCGACTTCAGCTTCAGTGCTAGGAAAGAGGCTAAAAGCCACAGTCTCTCTGCATCCTCCTCGCCATCCTCCACACAGAGAGGCAGACACACTCCCCTCCGTGAGTGGTGGAGCCCACGTCACATGTCACATGAGGTCACCGGGCCTCTCCCTCCCACCCTCCCTCCCTTCTTCTCCTACCGTCTTTGCCTTTTCTTTTTTTGTTTGGCTTCTCTGTTTCGGGGTTGTACTTTCCACACTTCTTCTCTGACTTTCAGTCCTCGCTCCTCATTGGTCGTCCAAGWTTTGGGAACATTTGAGTTTCCTTTGAGTTCAAACCAGGCGGYGGCGGCCCACGCTGCTGGGACTCGCTGAGGTTTACCGAAAGCTTTTGAAACCACTGGAGAAGCATTGAAATGCATTAAACCCAACACAAACACGGGGCAGAGAAGACAACAGGATCAAATCAGTCGAAGAGAAAGAAAAAACATATGAGAAACGGTTCTGAAAGCCGAACGGCTCTGAGCCCGCTGCCGTTGACTGTGTCTGCATGTCCTGTGCTAGTTTTCTGTTTGTCTGACTCACTGCACATCTGTGTTTGTAAGAACCAGTGGTTTTGGGCCCGCAAAACCTCCACCCTCACTTACCACTTGATAGTATCACAATCTTAGTCTCATAAGAAGCTGCACAGCCCGTTACTCGTCCTCTCCTCCCCTTTTTCTCTAAATAGTCACCTCGTAACCCCCCCTTTTTTACAAAATTTTTCAACTCTTTCCCACTCACCCACAAAACTGATTTTCTAACATTTTCAGCTGAGCTTCCACGATGCAAGCGCTGTATTCTGAGATGACTTGGATGGGCTTTACAGTGCTCAAACTTCCTTATGTGCATGTTAAAGTATCTGTGGCCTGCTGCAGTCTGTCACCCCAAATGAAAGTACAAAGCGATTTAACCTGATTGTGGCTTTCACACTTTTTTTTTTCATTTTCAAGGTAGAATTTAAGAATGGAAAAAGGTCTCACTGATGTGGCAACTTGCAGAACTTGTGCAAAGACACCTTGAAAAGAGACACCAGTGCCTTTTTTTTCTTTTTCAGAGTAAAAAAACAAACTTATCYGACTAATTTGTTTATTTGGCAACTGTTGCTTAAGTGAATTGAGTAAATTCCTTTTGCATAAGAAGCACCTAAAGCTACCAGCTGCCAGGCACTGAAGGGAGCTTAACCCCGCAAAATATTATTGTGTTACTCAAGTGAGTTCTAAAAGTGAGCAACAGTTAATTTCTGATTGCAAGAGAGTTTAATTTARTGATGGTTGGGAGGCGACGACTTGCAGCGTCTCTGGTAATAATTTGAACRGTGCAATTAAAATATTGTGGTGAGCAGGGGCTCACCCCTGATACAGATCAGGGAAGTTCCACCGTGCAGAACATCTCACTGAGCTTACATGAGGAGCGCTGTCTGCTCCACTCAGGGCAACCTTAGAGTCAACATTTTGCAAAWGTAACATGAAGGAAAACACAGCACAAGCAAATACTCTATAATAGAAAATATAATCAGGCAAACATCCCCGAAAATGTTAACAATACTTAAAAAATGTATTTTATGAGCACAGAACAGAAGAGTCAACATACGCCATTAAATAAAATGAAACAAAAGTAAATTTAATGGTTTCTAATTTCTCCAAAGGTCTTTTACCAGAATTTWAGGAATTTTAAAGGGGCAATATCATGTAAAATCAACTTTTTTTGAGTTTTATATCATGTTATAATGTTACACTCTCATAAAAAA